TCTATGCATGCCTCGAATGCAGAAAATAACTAAACAAAAAGCATTAACTAGATGAAGTTTAGGAAATCGCACGAGAAAAGCGTGCAGAATTCAAATCATGTTTGTTTGTTTGTTTTTTTTGGTTTGTTTGTTTGTTTGTTTTTTGTGTTATTTTTTGTTGCTTTATTGTTGATTTATTTATTGTTGTTTATTTAGACATTTTTGTCGTTGTTATGTTAATATGTGTGTGTCTGTGTGTGCGTGTGTTCTTTTGTCGTGATAATATGTATTGCAGTAACATGTACAGGAACTACATCTACGGGCAACCCTGAACTTCTTAACATGCATATTATCGCTCATGTATATTTGCATTCTGTTTTAACAACTATTTCATAAATTTGAGATAAGATATTTTCATTACTTGAAGGTCGTTCAACAAGACATTGTTGTTATGTTTGTGGTATTTTTCTTCATACACTTTGATCTTTTTCTTGTTCAAGTGGTCTTAGGGTTATATTGCTTGCTTTAAAAAATTCTTCTGACGTCAGGATGTGATATGAAGGCTCCATAATTTTGACCCCCTTCCTAATAACATTTTATTTAGTCGCGCCGATTAATCTAACGTTTTCAGTACATACAAATACTTGTATCTGGGGACCATTCGCCGCTTTTCGTGGAATGGCACGAGCGTGCCACATTGACGGTGCCATGGTCACTGCCGTATGAATACATAGTGACCATTTTTTATTTTTTTTATTTTATTCATTTTTTTTTTTTTGAAGATGATTCAAAGGTATATTGCATGACTCGGTTTCCTGTATTTTTGAAATGGAATAATTATGCTTCGGGTTGATAAAAAAAATTGAGTTTTGATTTTCGTTTCTTGTTTTAAATAAGTTTAAAAAATCAATATCTCTGTTTATCATCAACATATTAGTGATGTATTCCGTCTAAACGATTCTTACATATTTTCACTGACAAAATTTAATATAAATTCTAATATTTGTATGTAAAAAAAGTCACGAAGCAATACTCATATATTGACGGTACTTTATTAGATTGGTACGGAGATGTTTTGTAAGCAAGGAGATAGTAGCAAATGGGTGAAAAGTTTTAAATCACTAGGGTCAATCTTGTGTTATATTAATAGAAATAAAAAGAAAAAAACTAACTATATTGTGAACTAAGTGTGTCCTACTTCTATGCATTGAAATGAGAGTTTGCATTAGATTTCCGTGTTGTATTCTATAGGCATGTATAACTTAATAATCTAAAACTAAAACAATTTGGAAGTTCTCCTCGTGTAATTTGCTCATAAACTTGACATTTTGCATTTAAAATAATAAATCTATTCTGAGTTTGAATTACTAAATAAAACTTCAAATAATTAATGCCGCGGTACTCTAATTGAATTTGCACGATACCAGAAATGAAAATGTATTTATAGTAACATCTAAGTTCCTGTCAAAGCTTAACGATAAAATTCAAAATAACAATAATATTCGTTCAGTTTTGATAAATATTGGTGATTAATTCAGACTGTTTCTCAAATGAATCGTATTTTTATCAAGTTTTAGATTGTTACATCGATACACTGACCAAGAGAAATCAACACGAATGGTTTATCTTAATTATTCTAATAATATTTTCTCGTTGAAAAAAATTATTTGAATATATTTCATTAGATTTTTCAGTTTTGAAGGTTATTATTCGGGACGAACAAAATATATAGGTTTTACACATTCATGGTTAGTTATGTCCCCAGTTCTTTGGTGGGAGAAGGGCGGGGTTGGAGGGGCTGACAGAGATGTGCCCATGTCCATCCACCCGCTGTTCGTCCGTACACTGACAAAAACGTGGAATTCGGAACACTATTTTTTTTAATGTCATTATCTTTGAAAACATATAAGTTTGTGAAATTACTTTTTCATATCAAGCAAAATGAAAGCAATACATAAAAGATATATTGTTTGTTGTACAGCCTAACATGTTGTGTATGCATAGTGAAATTGTAAAAAAGCAGAAATTGATACCCTCCCCTGAAACCAAATCGTAATGGCTTTTGATACTATAAATAACCTCAGATTAATGATATATGTCGTGTAATGTAAAATTACGAATTTATAATGGCCGGTTCATTTGTCCTCAAGTGACTTTGAAATTAATAGGTTTGTGTTTCATGCCAATATTAACACCATAGCTAAAACATTAGTTTTATTAAAACTTTAGCATTTTGACATATATTTTTTTAAGGTTCGATTTATCTTCAATGACGATCGACTTCATCGAACGAGTTGTAGTATTAATCATACAGTTTAGAAATGTTATGTATGATGTCCCAAATTTCTTGTTCAGAAATTTATGTGATTATTAGTTAGCTTTCTTTAATGAATAAAATAAATCTTAAAATGTGATATACAAAATGTATTGAATTTTTCTGATGATAGCATGCCCAATTATATATTGGGTATACATAATATAACAAGTACAAAAAAGAAATGATATGTATAGTTCAGGTATCTCCGAGGCTAACAAAGTAAACAAACTCATGTTTTATTCATAGTAACTCATTCGCATAAAACAATGTTTATCTTGTGACCAATATATAAGACTGTGGACGTTTTGCATTTTTAATACGAAAATTCTGCTATGTACCAAGATACATGACTCACTTTCCATTCAATTAAATTAAAAGAGATCCACTTTACTTGCTAAAAAATCTACTCGAATAAAGTGCAAGTTTCTAAATTCTTTCAGTTTTTATACTTGTAGATATAGGTAAACAGTGTACTGATTTATGAGCCTATAAATCTATTTTAATTATTGAAATGTCTGTATGTTGCACTATAACATTTTAATTATGACAGTATGGGTTATTTAAACATGTTTTATTTGTCTGTGATTTCAATGATAAAAATAGATCTGACATTTATAGAGAAATTTTGCGATAATGTATCGATTATCGGCAACAATAAATAAAAACAAATATCTAAAGGATCTTTTGCTCTATTGCCTTTTTGGCAATTAGTAGTTACAATGATTTAGTATTTTGTATGAAACTCAGTTTGTTGCTTTGTATAACAATTAATTACAAATTCAGCGATAATTTTTTCAGGTGATAAGCATCTAACATGTTCATAACTATTCTTTAAACGTTATAAAACTCATGTTTGCCCTTTCTAAAGGCTAATCACTTAAAAGTTCTTCCCTATTTTGAATTACACATTTCAGGTTTCACTTGAATATTACATCTTCTTACATTTTTTCTTCAACTACAAAAAAAGATACATTTTTATCAGTTTTGATTTTAAAAGATTTTTAATCATCTGGAAGCATACCGCTTTAAAAAAGAAAACATTTATAGTATAAAACTGTTTTCATTATTATAAAAACATTTTACATTCTCACTCCGTATATATCTACTTATATTGATATGTAAATCTCTTTCTTTCCAAGATAATGAACGAACATTTAAGGCCCATTATGCCACATAAATGCTTTTATTTTTATTTCTCGAAATCTTCTTGATGCACTTTTATAGTTTTCAAAAATGTCACTCATTGGCCAATTACCTAAACCATCTTTTTCGTCTGTTGCTTATTGGTAATTATTAATGTTATAGTGATTATGCATGGAAGTCAAAATACTACTTTGTTTACATTTTGCTATTTTCATGACAAATATCTTTACACTAGGCGCTAATTTCTTCAGGATACAAACATCTAACATGTTCTAAAACTATTTTGTAAACGTTATAAAACATACTTGCCCTTTCCAAATTTTTTTTAATCATTTCCGAGGCATAATGTGCCTTTGATACATGTGATAAATTGTTTAGTTATTTTTCTTCTTCGTAAGAGATTTTATAAACTTGTTGTTAGTATTCATTGTATTTACCGCATATAATAGGTAAATACATGCGTTTATATTTTTTCCAAACCTATATACACGAGAATATAAAAACTCTGTCACGTGGTATGATTCACATTCGGCTTTAAATACATATATACACAATATAAAGCTATATAGTAGGTTTTTTTTTCGTTAAGTTTATGAGATCTTAAAACAATGTTATTTGTGTAACTGAAATGAAAGGTCGTTTCTATTTTTCAAAGTTTGACTGGCAAGTACCTACATTGACCTTTTTTAATATGCAAGAAAATCGTCTTAGAGGTGATGTGACATTTCAATTTTGTTTCTTTCAATACAGAAATTATCGCAAAATGTGAAATATACTTTTATAGTAATGGAAATGTCAAAATATCTATCTCATTGTTATATTACATAGTATTTTTGGGAACGAAATATTCATATATTTACATATTATATAAAAATAAAATAATAATATTATATAATATCAAAAAATAAGATGTATTTATGTCTAAGAAAAATGCCTAATATAAAAATTGTATGCAAAATTGCTGTGTGACTTGTGTTTTTTTAGTAACAGACAAAATGGTGTAGATATACATTTATATTAATGTTTTTCAAAGCATAAATTGGCAACCATAAAATTATGGAACGCCTTTGTTGCCTCACTTTCCCATTCTAAACTATCGTGTACAAAACTTGATATCGGTGTTCAATATAAAAAGTGATTCAGTTGTTTCAAATCTTTGATTGCTGATAAAAAGGAAATATGCTTATTTGGCGAGATTTATAGCGTTAAAAATAAAACTCAAAAATTCAGAGTCTGTTTTGTTAATTGTTTTGAGTTGTTGCCAAAAATGAATTCAACAGAACGTTGGATTGTAAAATATTTGAAACCTTATGTGTTTCATGTCTGACTCAATTATACTCATAGAGTATAAGTAAGAATGAGTCCATATGGATGTACATATGAGCTGTTTATAAAATAGCTTGAAATTAAATGTAAGACGTGAGACGGATCCCTTATTTAGAATTGTACGTCATCTTTCTGGTGTAACGAATGTATCTTGACGAGTTGTAATTTACCCTTGAAACTGTTAAATGCATATCATGTAGTGCTATGATTTAAACGTTTCATTTAAATTTTACAGGAAGCTGTCAATGGAGAACATATCCGGGATCCTCAATACATCGCTTCCTACTCCAAGTCATGGACAACCAGTGTCCACAGCGGAGGCGTTCCGAATAGCTGCACCAGCGGCCATGATGATCGACCGAATAGTCACGCCCATTTGGTACGTCATCGGTATTATAGGAAATCCTATAACCATGAAAATCTGGTTGTCTAAACGTATGCGAGAGTCAAACTCTTCCGCTATCTACATCGGTTCCATAGCGATTGTTCACTTCATTTTCATATGGCTTCATCTGTTACTAGAACTTCATATAGCATGGGGCATTTCAACATATAACAAGCCGACATTGTGTGAAATATTCAACTTTTTATACATCATACCGCAATATTTAGCCCCGCTTCTTATTCTTGGCTTCACGACAGAGAGATATATTGCCGTCTGCTTACCTTTCAAAAAGGAACAATTCTGCACCGTTCGTCGGGCATGTATAGTGGTGTTTGTCTTGACAGTATTTTCTTTTCTCCTGGGATCTGTGCAAATGTACATGTGGACTTTTAACGTTGAAAGGCAGCTATGTTATTACCGGAAAGGAGCAAAACCGTTCTATGTCATATGGACGTGGATTTCTGAAATGCTTATTTTTGCCGTGGTCCCTCTATTAGTGTTAATTTTCAATATCCTTGTAATTCGCGAAATCAAACTTTTAACGCGGAGAGCTTCTTTTAGGATGCACCGCGATAGTAATAATCGCGGAAACGCAAATCAAACATCGACCGTTACGCTTCTATCTGTCTCATTTTATCTGATTTGCACTTTACTACCAGCAACTATCGTATATGCAATGCAATCAGTGATCAAGACTGGGGAACATACAATACCATACAATAAATGGTCGGAGGACCCACAGTGGCAAAAATATCTGATTTATTTCACTATCAGAAAAATTGTAGAAGAAATTACGTTTTCAAACTACGCGTGCTATGTGTTCATTTATTACATAACTGGGTCATACTTCAGAACGGAAGTTCATAAAATTCTGTGTTTTAGACTGTGCCGCAATAAAAGTAAAAGAGATGTTCAGAGGACATCAACGAAGACAAGTACCCATGCTGAGCAGTATACTTTGATAACGACAAACGGCAAACAGGAAATTTGTCAAACTGAAACTGCATCTGTTGCTGTTTAATTTTATGTCATTATTTGTTGTTGTTTTTCTTGTTGTGCAAGAATTTCTGCATAAGAACAGGATAATACCACTAAATACATGTATTTTCCTAGGTTATTTCAATATGAAATCTAATTTGAAATCTCAATAATTCAAACTGGTTAGATTTTCTTGCTTGTCAAAAAGCGGTAAAGCTGCTTCATCAAAAAACTTTATAAAATGAACACAATTGCGTTTAGTTTGACACACGAACATCTCAAATCTCACTAAATATTAGATTTATCATCTCTGTAAGTTCTTCTTTTGAACGTGTATGATAACATTGCATTTTTTTATTAAGTTATGCTGATTTTCTTTCGAGAAACATAATTTCTTAATATGTTTGGCGTGACATCTGTTATCTAATCCTTTAAATTCTGAATAGAGTTATATTTTGTAATCTTTTAGATAAAGGCTTTTTGAAATTTGCAAAAGTTAATGTCGCCTGAAATTCTTATTTTAAACAATAAGGTTTTGTTTGCTATGTCTGTTATTTTTCTAATCCAGTAAAGCCAAAGAAAGTGGAACGGTGTGTAAATAAAAACAACATTTGTTTTCCTACATATTTTTTTCGTATGTATTTTTTTTTCATTTTTACAGCTCGTTTTCCTTTTTATCTGTGTCTTCTTTTTTACAATTGGCGCTTTTTACAATTTGCTTTTTAAATATTTGCATTTTAAGAGAAACTTATCAGAAAAAGAAACAATGTTCCGGAAAAGGCGGATCAAATAGCTACCTTGTTCAACAACAGTATAAACCATTTTTCTTGTACAACAAACATAAGGCTGAATATTTTTCTATCTTAACCTATATATATAGATTTTCTATTTCCTGGTCGCATACAAACAGAGCGCTGACTCGTTCCACGTAACACTATTACACTTCAACAATAATTTAAAAAATAGGTGATTGTGTGTTATTGTTCAAATATATTATTAAATGTCTTGTCTTAAATACTTGCATCTCAATAACTATTCAATACAGCCCTAAGATCCTCTTCTGTTGAGGAAAAAATGGCAGTATACTCTTTTAAATGTTATCTAAAAAAATAATATTGTTTTTGTTTGTTTGGTTTTACGGCGCACCAACTCAATTTAGATCATGTGGCGCCGACACAGGATAGATGACTTTGGCTAACATCGAGTGCTACAAACTAACAGTAACATCAGGGGTCAAATCCACTTCACCTCCCAGAGCTAACAAATGCATAGACTCAAGTTATTCTAACCGATTAAGTCGCCTCTAACGACCAAGCAGGGCTAAACGGTGGCTGCAATTCGGATGCCTCAACCCTTAAAGACAACTCCTCAGCCGCAAGGGGAAAATGATATTAATCAGTCCTTAAATGTTAATTTAATTATCAGATAACAAACAACAAAACACCGCGTCTCAATTAAATCATAACATGCTTGTACATATATCGTTATTTATATTTTCATGCTTTATGAGAATAAACTAATTTTTAATTTATGAGTTTAGACTTAGTGAATATTTACATGACATGTTATGGAGATGTTTTGCGATTTATGAGTGTTGTTAGAGGAAGTAATGTATATTTATAGCACAGCGTCGTTTCAAACATTGTTCCAAAGGAGATTGGTTAATTAAAATGATGTTATGCTTACACTATCGTCAAATGGCGGCAGTCGTGTACGTTTTACTTTTTACTGGTGAAGAAAGACACTCCCCCACCCCAAATCCAAGGGTTCTCTTCGTGAATTATTGCAACAAATGGGAAATTGTGTAGAGCCATGGACCTTTCGCTTGCTAGCTGGATAGCCTCTTCACTTGAGAAAATCTTCTTTTCATGGATTTTAACAAAGTATATTTTTACCAGTAAACGGGGATTATCATACATGTATATATGGAAAAGCATCGATAAGAATGTCATTGTGTTGCATGGTAATATAACCAGGTCAACAGTCGGAACACCTCGTCAATTACCAATTAAGAGTCCTCGTACACAGCTTGTCGGAAAATGCTGAATAGTTGCGATTGTCATGTCAAAAGAATCTGTATGCTTAGTTCATGTAGTACTAAAAGGTTTTATATGATTTTCCAAAAATATAAAGAGAAATATAAATTTTACTGACATAGAACGTAGCGTTTAATATCTATTTTTCATTTATTTGTTATTTGTCTTTTACTTGTCAATAATAATAATAATAATAATAATAATAATAATAATAATAATAATAATAATAATAACAATAATAATAATAATAATAATAATAATAGTAATAATAATGATGATGATGATGATGATGAGAAGAAGACTACATGTAATAACAACAACAACAAGATAACTGTTGCTATCTTTAAAATTAATGTGTAATGTAAACACACTTTGATAAACTTCAAATGTTTATCTAAATTTTATTTTAATTATACAAATGACATTAAACACGACATGACCTCAAACGCGTTAAAACAATAAAGGCCATTATTCACTAAATCAGGGCAATTAACACCTCTCTAACTGCAATACTCTGACGAGTATTACTCCCAAACTCTTGTGGATGATAGCACGAATGTTATGAATAATTAATTGTAATATTCAAATTATTTACCTTTTCTCCAACTATCACCAGCATCTGTTAGAAAACAAATGTGCTTTGACAGTCCACAGGGTGTTCTAAATTACAAACATTGTAGGATATTTGACAGAAAATCCCCAAAATAGATGAGAAATATCGTATTCAATGAGATTATATCCATCCTTTACTTTTTCCGTCAAATAAGTTTCAAACATTAATCCAAAGATTACATTAACTTTGGTGTTTTGAATCATGTATGCGGAATATTGTAGATATACGACATGCTTGCTGAAAATTATAGAAATTTTGTCCTGATTCACGGAAAGTTTGCTGAATATTGTAGAAATTTTGTCCTGATTCACGGAAAGTTTGCTGCATATTGTAGAAATTTTGTCCTGATTCACAGAATGTTTTCGGAATATTGTAGAAATTTTGTCCTGATTCACGGAAAGTTTGCTGAATATTGTAGAAATTTTCTCCTTCACGGAATGTTTGCTGAAAAGTGTAGTATTTTTGTCCTTATACTCGGAATGTTTCCTGATTAAAGTAGTATTTTGTTGTCCTAATACACGGAATATTTGCTGAATAGTGTAATATTTTTGTCCTAATACACGGAATGATTACTGAATACTGTAGAAATTTTGTTGTAGAGTATTTATAAATATAGTATGAATATATATGATCTACGTAGTGTAACCTGATCTGAAATAATTATTCTGAATATAAGTATATCTCAGTTACAAAAGAAGGAAGAGTACTTCCTGCACACGCTTAGACAGTTTCTGTTGATGGAAATACATTAAAATTTGAAGGTTTAATCACCCTGTGTATACAAGTACATTTCTAATTTGAACAATTATTTTTGATGTTAATTCAAATAACATACATCTGCAAGTGTTCTTTTCATTTTTTTTAATTAATATAATAATTGAGGGATAGGGGGTAGAGAAACCTGAAACAAAATCTACGCCCTAAACAGATGACACATTAAGATAAACAGCTGCATGCATGATTATGCATAGGCCTATCACTAAGTTGATCAAATACACACATTTCACGGTTCAGAAAACGTTCACGGCTTTGATAACGGCTTTTAATTTGGCTTAAATATTCGTCTTCTCCAATGTGTTTATATAATATCATTGCATAATATCATAAACAATGTATGACTTATGTATTATTGGAGCTGGAATGATTGGGTCGGCTGCTGCCCGGCATGCAACAGTCACTTCCGGTCTAAACACGTGTTTAATAGGACCAACAGAACCAAAGGTAAGTACTTGTTAAACTTTGTTTCAATCATGACAGGAGGTACCAATTTAAAAGTTTAATTTTCTTTTTTAAAGGTGTACGTGAATCAGTAGTTTAAACCGATTAAGGAGGTATACAACCGGCAAGTTAACTATAAAATACTGTCAACATGTAGCACATCAATTTTCACTTTGAGATTACATATCTAATCAGGAAATAGATAATATAACAAATATTTTTATTTTGTTTTTAAATTACAGTTAAATTACAATATACGATTTTACTGACTTAAATGTTTCAACATTTTCAAGGAAACAGAAAAATATAATTATATAATTTTCGTAGCGCAAGTTAGCCAAAGAATTGTGTTTGCGGTCATTGTATCCGTAGATATATTTTAATTATCGAAGACTGGCCTATGGCGGGAATGGCCGAAATATTGTTTTTTTATTTTAGTTTTTGCTGATCTATAATTGTATATTTGAGGTGATCAATAGAATAAAATATACAAATTAATAAGGATATTTGAGCGCAATATTTTATATTTACTATATGTAGGTAAAATGATTTGAATTGGGTGGACCAAATCTCGTCAAACCATTGACATTGTACATAGTTTTTTACTTTACATTTTTATCACGTGTGTACGGTGGCACAAATGTGACATGTGAGTGTTTTTATTAGTCGCCGGTAGAAACCGGCGACTATATTTGTAATAGTTTAATATTATACCTATGGTAGGAGAAGGCATTAATTTCTGTAAATAAAAGCATAACAATTACTGAACAATTAAAGACTACAATTGTTTTCAGTAATCTCAAAAATTCAAACATACAATAATGTTGCTAAATGAAATGAAATATTCAAATACTGACATCGTAAAAAGCAACATTACAATATTTATAAAATGAATTAATGACGTATCCCTATGGACCAGTCATTGAATTTGGGGATGCTTTTACTTTTTTTAAAGTGTCAAGCGTTGCTATTTTATGATAAATAAATCATGCATGATATTTGAAATGACACTTTTAAATTATCTGGTTGTTTGTATCTTATGAGACCTATTCTATTTTTTATCTTATTTATTATAAACAGTTTCTCCCAGAATCACGTGACTACACGTTGTATGTTATTGGTATGAAATCTATTAATAGTAACAAATGGCTGATAAGATAGACATACAGGTAATATGTGAATGGTTGGCAGGTGATAAAGTGCAAATCAAAGTAATTTTGTATGAAAAATCTCGGTATGACAGTAGGGGTCGGAATCGTATTGGATACACAGAGAAAACTAATAAACCATCTTTGTGTTGATAGTTTATCGCACTGAAAGGCAATTAAACATTAACTTTATTGTATGTATCGACAGGCATATTGATTTCAGCTAAATAATATATTTTTTCGATAGTGCATAAGAATAATTTGTTTATGCAGACATCACTTTTACAATAGAATTGCATTGTTTTATGCAATAATTAAGCATATATATTTTCATAGTCACTTTGCAAATATTCGATGATCGGTAATAATTTGTCGGGTGCTGAAGAAAACCATACGTTTAACGGTATTATGTATAAAGTAGAATTACAAATAGAATTATGATCATATCACTTGCTTTACAAGCCTCGATGACAAGATGTTAGATTTTAAGTTAGTTTCAAATTGAAGACTGTAGGTTCGATAAAGTGATTTTTTTTTGTATTTTGCAAAACTTGACCGTTTATCAAAATTATGAAATAAAAAAGTGCTAGAAATGAAACACACGATTTATCAACTTATGTTTCATAAAGTTAAATACGGTGGCACAGAGGTGACATGTGGGTGTCTTTTTTATCTCGTTCCCACGACATAATATCTCGTTCCCACGATATAATTATCTCGTTCCCACGACATAATATCTCGTTCCCACGACTTATTATCTCGTTCCCACGAGTTAATTATCTCGTTCCCACGAGATAATATCTCGTTCCCACGACTTATTATCTCGTTCCCACGACATAATATCTCGTTCCCACGACTTATTATCTCGTTCCCACGAGTTAATTATCTCGTTCCCACGAGATAATATCTCGTTCCCACGACTTATTATCTCGTTCCCACGAGATAATATCTCGTTTCCACGAGATAATTATCTGGTGGGAACAAGATAAATTAGCCAATGAAAAGCTTTCAATGTGACAGGAAAAGGTTATTCCCCTTTTTGCGCTTATTCGTCTTTGTAAAAACGCAACAAAAAGTTACTTCCCTCTTACATCTTTCACGCATAATCCTGTATCCGTGTTGCTGGCCTGAATGTTGGAGTTCATTCTGGACGAAGTCTATAACTGAAGATGGATCAGAGTACGACCTTCGTTGAAGTCCTTCAGACCTTAAAAGTCTATATAAATGTCTTATTGACAATAATATCCCATGTTGTTCTCGCAACACAGTCACTATTTGCCGGTAATTCAATCTTTCATGAAAGTATCTTGATATAAGGTTTCTAATATTAGCCTGATTGTTAAAGTCCATTTTAGCATTTGTTAAAAAAAGGGAAATAACTTTTAATTTTTCCACTATACTGAGTTTTGATTGGCTGAAATTATCTCGTGGGAACGAGATATTATCTCGTGAAAACAAGATAATTAACTCGTGGGAACGAGATATTATCTCGTGGGAACGAGATATTATGTCGTGGGAACGACTTATTATCTCGTGGGAATGAGATATTATGTCGTGGGAACGAGATAATTATCTCGTGGGAACGAGATATTATGTCGTGGGAACGACTTATTATCTCGTGGGAACGAGATAATTATCTCGTGGGAACGAGATATTATGTCGTGGGAACGACTTATTATCTCGTGGGAACGAGATAATTATCTCGTGGGAACGAGATATTATCTCGTGGGAACGACTTATTATCTCGTGGGAACGAGATAAATAAAGACACCCACATGTCACCTCTGTGCCACCGTAGTTAAAAGATATAATAAAAATCAATTTATGAAAACTACGCACAGGATTTGTCCGAGATTCGAACTTGCGCCTACTACATGTAGGTTACAACTTCGTCATACTTACCACTAGGCAATCGAGCAGTATTAATTTTTATAATTATACATGTAATTATACTTACAATAAAATCGTTAACATTAATCATAATAAGTTATGTAAGCAAACGAAACAGCTCCCGAAAATATTGAGTCTCGGGTAAATATTGCCAAACAATACTTGCTTATTTAATAATGATAACAGTTTCTTGACAAAATTGCTAAGCAAGTTTGATTCAAATATGATGTTTTATTATAACATAAGATAAATTTTTTGCATAAAACTCTCATTAAGGAAGATATAATTGTGGCAAGTAAATGAAAACGTGTTTATGAATAAACATTACTCAACTTATTGTTCCTCTTTTCTTTATACTCGAACCATTAAACTGATATTTTCTTTTATTTATGATAATTTACAATCATATTTCTATCCGGCGACTTGATGCTTTAGCATCAAAATCTCTACTTGTATTTATCTTGTGACCACAAGATACTATGTCACTACGTTTCCAGAGTTCACTGTGACAATAAATGGCGAAATCTTAACGCTCTAACCTGACCCACCTGGGTCAAGTTAAGCAACCACCACTTTATTCTTTATAAGGAGAAAAGTTTTATTCCTGTGACCGTCTAGTGTGTTTATTTTGCATATATTAAATGTTCATGTCATTGACAACCGTACATCAGCTGAAGGACGTAAATGTTTGATACGAAGAAAGAAAGAAAGAAAGAAAGAAAGAAAATAAAGAAAGAAAGTAAGAATGAAGGAAAGAGAAAGAAAGAAAGAAAGAAAGAAGACAGAAACAAAGCAAGAAAGAAAGAAAGAAAGAAAGAAAGAAAGAAAGAAAGAAAAAAAAGAAAGAAAGAAACAAAGCAAGACATAAAGAAAGAAAGAAAGAAAGAAAGAAAGAAAATAAAGAAAAAAGTAAGAAAGAAAGAAAGAGAAAGAAAGAAAGAAGACAGAAACAAAGCAAGAAAGAAAAAAAGAAACAAGGCAAGAAAGAAAGAAAGAAAGAAAGAAAGAAAAAAAGAAACAAACAAACAAAGAAACAAAGCAAGACAGAAAGAAAGAAAGAAAGAAAGAAAAACTTGCAACATTAGAAAAATTAGAAAGAAGCCAGTATTATAACAAATATTTTGTCATGAATTTTAATGATCTCTGGCACCGTCTGGTTAGCTCACTATGTGAAGCGTTGGGCTGTGAATCAGGCGATCTGGGTACGATTCCCATACGGTGAAAGTCACTTGCGTTGTGATAGATTATACAATCTTCGCACTGGCATGTACAGAAGTTATCAGTTACTTGCGGAAGTTTAAGTTATCAGTTACTTGTGGAAGTTTAAACTAGTTATCAGTTACTTGCGGAAGTTTAAGTTATCAGTTACTTGCAAAAGTTAAGGCAACAAGTACTGGTTAAGTGATTGTCAGCCAGCCAAGGAACGACATTGTGACTGGAATGCGCTCTGGTAAATTCAATGTGGCTTACTGTCGTGATCTGGAGTTAACACTACCAACACCACCAACTTCACTGGAATGATCTATGATCAAAGTCTAAATTATTAACTAAAATTAACTAAAACGAAGTTCATAATAAAGAAAATGTTAATGAGGTTTAACCTTTTGTGTTAAGAAATGCATGCCAGTGTGACAAGGTCCTATTTTTTGGCTGCTCTTGCTTATCATATTTTGATACTGGTATCCAATAATCCCTCGTAATTTCCATTTGTACGGTCCAGAGACAAAAGACGAGCAAGTACTTTACGCAAAGTCAGTAACGTCATAATTTATATAAAAATACTAGTAATCTATAACATAAGTTACATCTATTTTAGAACATCTATTTATAAACTTTATTGTAAGATCGTCATTTCAGAATAGAGGCTATGATAAGACTAGTGGAATTTATGGTTCCTATTTTGACGAGGGAAGAATAACACGATGTATGGATAAAGATGCCGTGTGGTCAACTTTAGCACGAGAATCAATCCAGCGCTACAGAGACCTTGAACAACAGTCCGGTAGGAACCATTGCTTAATTATCTATTTTTTCCTATTTCATCATACGGAAACAAACAAACATACAGCATACATATCAGCTAAGCATAGGTGTGGTAATAATTTCAATATTCTACATGCATATTTAAATGCTCATGTTCGCTGCATCAGAGAGTTATATTACCATAAATGTATGTTACCGATAATCTCTTTGATATTAATTAGAAGGGTGTGCAATTCTAGAAATGTCAAAAAATTGAAAATTATCAATTAAAAGACCACAATCATTCATGCGCGTCCGTTGAGTATTGTTTAGTTTCTTTCTACACTTCTTTTGTCAATCATGACGGATATGACCGTCTATCTTCTAAGCTAAAATTATATCTTTATTCAGGTATAAAGTTTTATCAGGAAGTAGGAAATCTTATGATAGGAGGAAGATCTTATTTGAATAAGACCGATGAAGTAGCGTCAAGAAATGCGATTCCTACCCAGAAGCTTGACATTAAATTGCTCAAACAGAGATTCCCATATCTTAGGTTAACTGAAGATACTAATGGGAGAATGGAGACAAAGAAAGCCGGGTATGTAAATCCGAGGCGAATGGTTAAAGCTCAAAAGACAATGGCAGCAAAACAAGGGTGCACAATAATTGATGACGTGGTAAATCACGTGACTCGTATTGTACAATCAGATGGTTCTTATGTGATGTTAATTAAGACAGAAAAGGGACTCTCGATTTGGAGCAAAAAGGTGTTGTTAGCCACCGGAGCATTTACTACCTTTAGGGATGTTTTGCCGGATGTAAGACCCGAACAAATCATTTCTCCACTCCTTGTGTCTTTATTAGAAGTAGAGGAGGCAAACTTGAAAATGTTCACGTGAGTAAAATTAAATATATGAACTATCTTTATGTAACTTAGAACACTTCCTGTGTCGAGGAATTAAGTCGAACTTCGTTAAAATACTAAAATCGAGGTAACAGAATCCTCAAACCTGACTTCTGGAAATTTTTGGGCACTTTGGACTTCATACCTCTGATCACGATGGGATACCGAAAAGTGCTGACTTTGAGTAATTGTCCTCAAAGTAGCGTAAAACACAAACATGATAATATTTTGACAACACAATCACTATAAATGAAGCATAAGATGGCATTTTGCCAATTAGTAAAATTGTAATCAGAACAACAAAACTATAGATAATAAGAACTGAAAAAAAGGGTTTTGGAAGCTTAATGCGTCTTTTAGTTGAACTAATGTGTCAGAATAAGTTACAGTTACATCAGCATTTTATAAAGCTGAAAAAGGCAACGATCATATAGGGCAGTTACAAAAATGCCATAATGGCGGCATGGCCGAGTGGTTAACGCATTGGACTAGTAATCTAATGATCGCTAGCCGCATGGGTTCAAACCCCGCCAGGGGCAAGCCGTTGTTGCCTTGAGCAAGAAACTTGACACTCATTGTTCAGTACTGGTTGGTTCCAGGAACAGATTCGAAAGTGTGTCTATAAGCTAATATAGCTTCCTACACAATCGAACTAAAATAAACAAGATATGTTTGTAAAACATGTATGCCCCCTATCAGCAGCCAATTAGTCATGTGATAAGGTTATTATGCATGACTTCTGACCCAGTGATCAAACAATTAATAAGGGTTATAAAGTATCTACTGGTCATGACCTTGACCTTTGACCCCTTGACCCAAAACTCAATAGGGGTCATCTGCTGGTCACGACCAATCATCATACAAAGTTTGAAGTTCCTAGGCCTAGGCGTTTTTAGTAAATTGATCAGAAACCGTTTTTACCTACAAGGTCAATGTGACCTTGACCTTTGACCCCTTGACCCCAAAATCAATAGGGGTCATCTGCTGGTCATGACCAATCACCATGCCAAGTTTGAAGTTCTTAGGCCTAAGGGTTCTCTTATTATTGATCGGAAACGGTTTTAACATACAAGGTCAATGTGACCTTGACCTTTGACCCCAAAATCAATAGGGGTCATCTGCTGGTCATGACCAATCACCATGCCAAGTTTGAAGTTTCTAGGCCGAAGCGTTCTTTAGTTATTGATCAGAAACCGTTTTTACTTACAAGGTCATTGTGACCTTGACCTTTGACCCCTTGATCCCAAAATCAATAGGAGTAATCTGCTGGTCATGACAAATCACCATACCAAGTTTAAAAGTTCCTAGGCCTAAGCGTTCTTGAGTTATATGATCAGAAACCGTTTTTACTTAAAGGGTCAATGTGACCTTGACCTTTGACCACTTCACCTAAAACTCAATAGGGGTCATCTGCTGGTCATGACCAATCATCACACAAAGTTTGAAGTTCCTAGGCCTAAGCGTTTTTAGTTAATTGATCGGAAACCGTTTTTACCTACAAGGTCAATGTGACCTTGACCTTTGACCCCTTGACCCCAAAATCAATAGGTCATCTGCTGGTCATGACCAATCACCATACCAAGTTTGAAGTTCCTAGGCATAAGGGTTCTTAAGTTATTGATCGGAAAGCATTTTTACCTACAAGGTCAATGTGACCTTGCCCTTTAACCCCTTAACCCCAAAATCAATAGGGGTCATCTGCTGGTCATGACCAATCACCATACCAAGTTTGAAGTTCCTAGGCCTAAGGGTTCTTTAGTTATTGATCGGAAACCGTTTTTTACCTAAGAGGTCAATGTGACCTTGACCTTTGACCCCTAGACCCCAAAATCAATAGGGGTCATCTACTGATCATGACCAATCACCATCTCAAGTTTGAAGTCCCTAGGCCTAAGGGTTCTTTCATTATTGATCGAAACCGCTTTACCTACAAGGTCAATGTGACCTTGACCTTTGACCCCTTAACGCCAAAATCAATAGGGGTCATCTGATTGGTCATAACCAATCACCATACCAAGTTTGAAGTTCCTAGGCCTAAGGGTTCTTTTGTTATTGATCAGAAACCGTTTTTAATTAAAAGGTCAATGTGACCTTGACCTTTGACCCCTTGACCCCAAAATCAATAGGGGTCATCTACTGGTCATGACCAATCACCATACCAAGTTTGAAGTTCCTAGGCCTTAAGGTTCTTTAGTTATTGATCGGAAACCGTTTTTGCTTTCAAGGTCAATGTGACCTTGACCTTTGACCCCTTGACCCCAAAATCAATAGGGGTCATCTACTGGTCATGACCAATCACCATACCAAGTTTGAAGTTCCTAGGCCTTAAGGTTCTTTAGTTATTGATCGGAAACCGTTTTTGCTTTCAAGGTCAATGTGACCTTGACCTTTGACCCCTTGACCCCAAAATCAATAGGGGTCATCTACTGGTCATGACCAATCACCATACCAAGTTTGAAGTTCCTAGGCCTTAAGGTTCTTTAGTTATTGATAGGAAACCGTTTTTGCTTTCAAGGTCAATGTGACCTTGACCTTTGACCCCTTGACCCCAAAATCAATAGGGGTCATCTACTGGTCATGACCAATCACCATACCAAGTTTTGAAGTTCCTAGGCCTTAAGGTTCTTTAGTTATTGATCGGAAACCGTTTTTGCTGAAAAGGTCAATGTGACCTTGACCTTTGACCCCTTGACCCCAAAATCAATAGGGGTCATCTACTGGTCATGACCAATCACCATACCAAGTTTGAAGTTCCTAGGCCTTAAGGTTCTTTAGTTATTGATCGGAAACCGTTTTTGCTTTCAAGGTCAATGTGACCTTGACCTTTGACCCCTTGACCCCAAAATCAATAGGGGTCATCTACTGGTCATGACCAATCACCATACCAAGTTTGAAGTTCCTAGGCCTTAAGGTTCTTTAGTTATTGATCGGAAACCGTTTTTGCTTTCAAGGTCAATGTGACCTTGACCTTTGACCCCTTGACCCCAAAATCAATAGGGGTCATCTACTGGTCATGACCAATCACCATACCAAGTTTGAAGTTCCTAGGCCTTAAGGTTCTTTAGTTATTGATCGGAAACTGTTTTTGCTTTCAAGGTCAATGTGACCTTGACCTTTGACCCCTTGACCCCAAAATCAATAGGGGTCATCTACTGGTCATGACCAATCACCATACCAAGTTTGAAGTTCCTAGGCCTAAGGGTTCTTTAGTTATCACTCGGAAACCATTTGGTCTACGGACCGACGGACCGACGGACCGACAAGTGCAAAGCAATATACCCCCTTTTTTTCAAAATGGGGGCATAATTATGTATAAACCAAAAAGAAGATAAACCTGTCTTTTTCTTTTCTTTTTACAGAAAAATGCCATGTATTATCTATTATGGAAGAGCCAATGAAGTCTGGCAGGTTCCGGCCTCACATAAAACCAAAGATGAGATTTCGTTCTACATGATGCCACCAATAAAATATCCTAATGGTAGTATATTTCTTAAGCTAACATGACACAAGGCACTTCGATTCCCATATAACCTGTCCATTATCTTTCTAAATACTAAACAGATTTCTTCATGTGTGGATGTTCTTATCGAACATATCCTTTAATCTTTAGCAAAATTGTGTTGCGACTGAATTTTCTCAAGTTTCATTTTCTTAAATCTCCTCTCATTTCACAAGGTCGACATCTACCAGCAGTGACATTCAGTCCAGTGATTGTGTTTTCGATCCTAGGGTCAAGGTCATTCTTCTTCATACGACAATATCAGACAGTAGGTCCAGAGGTTGGTCATGACTAATAAATGATCCCTATTGATTTAGGAATATAAATGGGCCTCTTAAAGTCCAAGGTCTTATAGTAGTTTTTAACACAAAAGGTTTATCCGACAAATTACAATTGAACGCTTAGGCCTAAATTCCTAAGATTTGGTGTGGCGGTTGGACATAACTAAAAGATGAACCATATTTTGTGGGGGGTTATGATATATTGGTTTTAATCGGTGGGCTTTATTTTCACGAACATTTCATGTGAACGTGCTATTGTTCCATGTGAATATGTTGAACTGAAAAGTGATATAATTAGAACAGAGACCAGCAAGAATCAAGAATATGTACCATTTGAGCAGATAACTGTCATTGTTAGTTTGAGAATAAGACAGCAAGAAATAATACTAAGATTGTTACTTACTAGTATTGAGTAAAATATGTAACTTAAACGCTCGTTTAAAAATATTCACATCATGGTACATAGGGTAATCCTAAACAAATCTATTTCATTATTTAAATAAACGGTACCGTTTCATGCTTAGAGCAATCATCAGGTACAAATGGAGTTGATTAAACTGCACAGTATTGCAATAAAAACATAAAACGTTGATTCCTTAATCGTTTACTTATACTTGCTCTAACTTGCTAAAGAGCACTGTGCCTATGGTTCTTACTCGTTTTAGTCACTATTTCGTAATTTATATTGAAAAAAGACATGTTAGAGCATATTAGCATTATTATCATTATTATTTTTATTTCATTGCAGGAAAGTATTATATTAAACTGGGTCTAAGAGATGCCGCAAGTTCTGAATCAATAAAAACCCCAGTTGATGTGACAAAATGGTTTAAAGAGGGCAATAAAGTTACGGCTAAGCATGTGACTAATTTTGCGAAATCATTGTTCGATGGTAATGTGAGATTGAAAAATAATGTATTCATTATTTATTTATAATATAGCTTTAATATACTCCATAAGTCAAGTATTGCACACATTGTTTTCGTCGTCCAAAGATTTATATTGTTTTAAATTCGATTTAATGTGAATTGCACTTTTCGTAGATATGCAAATAGTATTATTATACTATAAGTAAAAGGATTTCTTTTCTCTCTTTTTACTTCTAAATGAGTTTTTATAACAATTCATATTTTCTTTCTTTTCCTATGCATAATTTAGGTGTTGATTTTAAATCCTGGCAAACTGACAGCTGCGTTATAACAGAAACGCCCACTACACATCCTTATATAGACATGATTCATGCTCAGTTGGGCGTGGCTATCGGTGGGAATGGTTTTGCAGCGAAATCGAGTGACGAGATTGGTCGATTGGGCGTCAGCATGATGACAAGCCAATGGGATTCAACAATACCAAGAGACATATTAAAATTCAAACTCTTACCAACATACCCGAGCGAATATAAGGTCACAACTCTAAAAGGAAAGCTCTAACTGCAAGCAAAAACAAATGAAAAAGATCAGCTAATGACAAGAGTATGATAAAAAATATAGGACACGTGCATATGACTTCATCTGTACATCTGTGTGGTGAATGTTTTGTACAAAAGTGTTTGTTTTACAAACGAAGGAAATATACAAATTATCAAGACAACGTATATTGGTACATGCTACACGCAAGGGGGTAATAAATGGTTATAAAGGTTTTATTTACAATATCAGTCAAATAATATTATCTTCTTTTAATGTTGGCAAAGTTCTTCCAACTCTCTGGTATGACTGAAATGCCCAGTAGATTTTTTTGTGGACAATTGTGATATTCTAAAGAATAAAATAAATAATGTTTTGGTGAGATAAACATTTTCTAGGTACCATTGGATATTCTTTTCGAAAAAAGGCACATTCTAGCTTTCTTAATGACCAGTTCCGTTATGTTTTACATTTTACATTGTCTATTCTATGATCACATCCGTGTTATTTGTGCCGTGTGGCGGCTGTAAAAAGTCTCCCCGTACATTTAATCAATGATGTTATATTTCCGATCCTTGAAGATCGTTCAGCACGACATTATTGTTGTGCTTGTGGTATTTTTAGTTTCAACTTTTCGGCATTTTCTAGTTGGGTGGTTCCAATATTCCTACTTGAATAATGTTGAATCACCCTTAGGATATGTTGCCTGCTTTTTAAATTTGTCTTTTGACGTCTTATCTGTGATACGCAGGCTTCATAACCTCTGATCCCCTTTCTAAATTCCATTTTATTTAGTTCCGCCCATTGTTTTCTCGTTTAGGGCACACGCTTTTTATTACTTGGGGACCATACGCCGCTTTTCATGGAATGGCACTAGTGTGTCACATTGAAGGTTCCATGATAACCGCCGTATGAACACATCTGCGGATGTTTCTAAATTCATAATTTTACTATTTCACGTTTAAATGTTGAATTCTGCTTAAGCCGGTGCTAGGGGGCGTGGACGGTAGTATGCACTTGACAGTACTGTCCATGAACAGGCTCAATCAAACCGAGCCTGCAACATTTTCAATTTTGCCGTGTTGGGTTTTCTTTAGGGATTCTGTATTTGTCTATTCTATGATCACATCCGTGTTATTTGTGCCGTGTGGCGGCTGTAAAAAGTCTCCCCGTACATTTAATCAATGATGTTATATTTCCGATCCTTGAAGATCATTCAGCACGACATTATTGTTGTGCTTGTGGTATTTTTAGTTTCAACTTTTCGGCATTTTCTAGTTGGGTGGTTCCAATATTCCTACTTGAATAATGTTGAATCACCCTTAGGATATGTTGCCTGCTTTTTAAATTTGTCTTTTGACGTCTTATCTGTGATACGCAGGCTTCATAACCTCTGATCCCCTTTCTAAATTCCATTTTATTTAGTTCCGCCCATTGTTTTCTCGTTTAGGGCACACGCTTTTTATTACTTGGGGACCATACGCCGCTTTTCATGGAATGGCACTAGTGTGTCACATTGAAGGTTCCATGATAACCGCCGTATGAACACATCTGCGGATGTTTCTAAATTCATAATTTTACTATTTCACGTTTAAATGTTGAATTCTGCTTAAGCCGGTGCTAGGGGGCGTGGACGGTAGTATGCACTTGACAGTACTGTCCATGAACAGGCTCAATCAAACCGAGCCTGCAACATTTTCAATTTTGCCGTGTTGGGCTTTCTTTAGGGATTCTGTATTTGTCTATTTTACAGTCATGACTTTTCAATATCTTTTGGCAGATTCAGTTTATTATAAGTACATTGTAAGTTATTTAGTATCAATTGTTTGGTTATAGACTCTATATTAAAATTCTTCCTCATTTACAAGTTTTCTGAAGCAAGTAAATAACTTCTCGTAGGCTTCTTTTCAAAGAAGTTTACTTGAATCCAGTTGACTTCTTTTGAAAAACACTATGATGAACTAAATAAAAGTACAAAATCCATTGGCCATTAAGCCCTCTCTCTCCTCACAAGCGCCTCAACAGTTGTATGACGTTTTAAATAAATAATTTTAATTGAGTTATAAGTATCAATTATAGTTTTCAAGGTTTCAAAATTTAGTGGCTACCGACATGCAAAATGCTACTATTGACATCATAAGAACCTCTGGCATTTTCAAAATACCACACGTTCATGAACTCGCGTTTACAAATGCAAAAAAAATATCTGCTCAGCGTGCGTTCTATAAGGAAATATTCAAATGATCTTAACAGTTACAACATATCTTTAAAGTACCAAATTTCCAATTAAATCTCTCCATAAAAAACATATATTATTGGATCTGTCATTTTTGTGACAACGCATGCCAGTCCGTTTCCTACCATCAATGATACAGAAAAAATATCCAAACGGTAATTACGTCTGTAACTTCCTCTCATTTTAACCAATGTTTTACCGTATGCATATCTTCATGTTAATACAATTACGTTACATATTAAGTATTGTTGAAATCTAACATACATAAATATTTGCATCAAATACATCTTGAAACATCAAATTTTACAAACAAAATGCCATAAGTCTTGACTTCAGATGTTTTTCCAATGCATATCTATTGATAGTACAAGCAGTTTCCATAACTTTTGTCGAAATCCATCTTTGTTTTGGGTAACCCACTATTCAATCATATTATTTTAGTGCGGACAGGTGAAGACCTGTCAGGGGACAAGGTAACGCTAATTATTTATAGTAATAAATACATTTCTTAAACTGTATTAATATTTTTCTTAGCTATACTTTTGAGAGTAAGTTTGAAGGCGCTAACTTAGTGAGAGGAAAATTCCGAATATTAATCATTGTTAGCCATTTGGTACATGGATATTGATTTCCCATAATGTTACCTTTTATGGAAACAAAACGAGTCACTCCCAAAACTCTAAAACTGTTCGTGAATTTATTTACAGTCGACGGTCATGCTTTTTTTTTCTCCCGCAACTAAATGCCATAGATTTAGTATGTTTACCATGATCCAATTTCCCCAGTCATTGATATACATGTTTTCTCCATGTTTTTCTCCCAACACATTTACATGCCTATGGCATGCCTTATTGTATCATGTCATCCGGACAGTCGGAACACCTTGTCAATTACCAATTAATAGTCCTCGTACACAGCTTGTCGGAAAATGCTGAATAGTTGCGATTGTCATGTCAAAAGAACCTTTATGCTTAGTACATGTAGTACTAAAAGGTTTTTGTATGATTTACCAAAAATATAAAGAGAAATATAAACTTTACTGACATAGAACGTAGCGTTTAATATCTATTTTTCATATATTTGTTATTTGTCTTTTACTTGTCAATGATAATAATAATAATAATAATAATAATAATAATAATAATAGTAATAATAATAATAATGATTATAATGATGATGATGATGTGATGATGATGATGATGATGATGAGAAGAAGACTACATGTAATAATAACAACAACAAGATAACTAGCTGTTGCTATCTTTAAAATTAATGTGTAATGTAAATACACTTAAACTTCAAATGTTTATCTAAATTTTATTTCAATTCAGCTAACAAGTTTATACAAATGACATTAAACACGACATGACCTCAAACGCGTTAAAACAAAAAAGGCCATGACATGACCTCAAACGCGTTAAAACAATAAAGGCCATTGTTCACTAAATCAGGCCAATAACTGCAATACTCTGATGAGTATAAATCCCAAACTCTGTGGATAGTAGCAAGAATGTTATGAATAATTAATTGTAATATTCAAATTATTTACTTTTTCTCCAAATATCACCATCATCTGTTTGAAACAAATGTGTTCTGGCAGTCCACAGGGTGTACTAAATTACAAACATTATTAGGATATTTGACAGAAAATCCCCGAAATAGATGAGAAATCTCGGATTCAGTGAGATTATATCCATCCTTTACTCCTTCCGTCAAATAATTTTCAAACATTTTTCCAGAGATTACATTAACTTTGGTGTTTTGAATCATGTATGCGGAATATTGTAGATATATGACATGTTTGCTGAATATTATAGAAATCTTGTCCTGATTCACGGAAGGTTTGCTGAATATTGTAGAAATTTTGTCCTGTTATACGGACTTTTTGCTGAATATTGTAGAAATTTTCTCCTTATACACGGAATGTTTGCTGAATAGTGTAATATTTTTGTCCTAATACACGGAATGTTTGCTGAAAAGTGTATTTTAGGTGGACTTTTACAACAAATATTTGAAATAAACTTTTCAACAACTTTAATTCCAGCATTAAATTACTATTTGTTTACATGATTAGTTTCTTAGCGTAGGTTACACCGAATTACCGTATCCGTTCTGTGAATTCATACTTTTGTGTTCGAGGTCCTTATCCAAGACTGACAGAAGGGGTTGAGTGGTTGCAATTGTGAATAGTGTAGTATTTTTGTACTTATACATGGAATGATTACTGAATACTATAGAAACTTTGTTGTAGAGTATTGAAAAAAATAGTATGTATATTTATGATCGACTTAGTTTAACTTGATCTGAAATAATTATTCTGGATATAATTATATCCCAGTAACATAAAAAGGAACAGTACTTTCTGCACATGCATAGACAGTTTCTGGTGATGGAAATGCCTTAAAATTTCAAGGTTTAAGCAACTTATGTAAACAAGTTTATTTCATAGTTTTCTAATGTGAACAATTTTTGATGTTCATACTGCAAGTGTTCTTTACATTGTTTTTTTTATTAATATAATAATTGAGAGATAGGGGTAGAGAAACCTGAAACACAATCTACGCCCTAGACAGTTGACACATTACGATAAACAGCTGCATGCATGATTATGCATAGGCCTATCACTAAGTTATTCAAAAGCACACATTTCAAGGTTCAGAAAGGCCTTTTAATTTAGTTTAAATAGTCGACTTCTCCAATGTGTTTATATAATATCATTGTTTAATATCATAAACAATGTATGACTTGTGTATTATTGGAGCTGGAATGATTGGGTCGGCTGCTGCCCGGCATGCAATAGTCACTTCCGGTCTAAACACGTGTTTAATAGGACCAACAGAACAAAAGGTAAGTACTTGTTAAACTTTGATTCCATCCAAAGTCAAATGGATTACAGATTATTATTTTAAAGTTAAAATAAATAAATAAAAAGAAGTGTGCCTAAATCA